GAAAAAGATTCTCTACCATTTCATAAGAAAAAATAATTTTTGTTTTTGAAAATTCTTGGACTGTGTGGACAAGCAGTAGAACTATGGCTTGGACCCTCAAAGTGTTAGATAGAGGGTTGAAGGTATCAGGAAGATGAAGAGAATATTTTAAGGAATTGTTAAATGCTGATGAAGATAGGGAAGCTGTGATTTCATGGATTGGGTAGGGAGGTATAACATCTTGTAGGAGTGAGAAACAGCCAGTTGTGAGTGTGATGGAGGTGCATGAGGCAATGAGTAGAATGTAAGGGAAGTAAAGCGGCTGGGAGTGATGGGATGAAGACAGAAATGTTAAAAGCAAGTCGGCCATCTCCCACCGAGGCAGGGTGACCCAAAAAAAAGAAAGAAAATCCCCCCAAAAAATACTTTCATCATCATTCAACACTTTCACCTCACTCACACATAATCACTGTTTTTGCAGAGGTGCTCAGAACACAACAGTTTAGAAGCATATACGTATAAAGATACACAACATATCCCTCCAGACTGCTAATATCCCGAAACCCCTCCTTTAGAGTGCAGGCATTGTACTTCCCATTTCCAGGACTCAAGTCCGGCTATACTAAAAATAACCAGTTTCCCTGAATCCCTTCACTAAAAATTACCCTGTCACACTCAACAGTTCGCCAGGTCCCAAATACCATTTGTTCCATTCAAAATCTATCGAACACGCTCATGCACGCCTGCTGGAAGTCCAAAGCCCCTGCCCACAAAAACCTCCCTTACCCTTCCTTCAACTTTTCGAGGACGAAACCCTACCCCGCCTTCCTTCTCCTACATTCGTTTTTACTTGATCCATTCTCTCTAAATGACCAAACCACCTCAACAACCCCTCTTTAGCCCCCTGACTAATACTTTTATTAACTCCACACCCTTTTCTTAATTTTCCACACCTCCGAATTTTCTGCATAATATTTACACCACACATTACCCTTAGACAGGACATCTCCACTGCCTCCAACCGCCTCCTCGCTGCTGCATTCACTGCCCAAGCTTCACACCCATATAAGTGTGTTGGTACTACTATACTTTCATACATTCCCTTCTTTGCCTCCATAGATAACATTTTTTGTCTCCACATATACCTCAACGCACCACTCATCTTTTTTCCCCTCATCAATTCTATGATTAACCTCATCCTTCATAAATCCATCCGCTGACACGTCAACTCCCAAGTATCTGAAAACATTCACTTCTTCCATACTCCTCTTCCCCAATTTGATATCTAATTTTTCTTTATCTAAATCATTTGATACCCTCATCACCTTACTCTTTTCTATGTTCACTTTCAACTTTCTACCTTTACACACCCTCCCAAACTCATCCACTAACCTTTGCAATTTTTCTTTAGAATCTCCCATGAGCACAGTATCTATCAGCAAAAAGCAACTGTGTCAATTCCCATTTTGTATTTGATTCCCCAAAATTTAATCCCACCCCTTTCCTGAACACCCTAGCATTTACTACTATTACAACCCCAACTATATATATATTAAACAACCATGGTGACATTACACATCCCTGTCTAAGACCTACTTTTACTGGGAAGTAGTCTCCCTCTCTTCTACACACCCTAACCTGAGCCTCACTATCCTCATAAAAACTCTTTACAGCATTTAGTAACTTACCACCTATTCCATATACTTGCAACATCATATGCCTTTTCTAAATCCATAAATGCAGTAAAAACTTCCTTACCTTTATCTAGATACTGTTCACATATATGCTTCAATGTAAACACTTGATCTACACATCCCCTACTCACTCTGAAACCTCCTTGCTCATCTGCAATCCTGCTCTTTGTGTCACTCTTAATTCTTTAAATAATAGATCTACCATACACTTTACCAAGTACAGTGGACCCCCGGATTTCTTAGTCGCCGGATTTCGTAATATACATGTATGTTTGGAAATTGTAACGTTTTTTCATCAAAATATTGGCTCGGTGATCGTCATTTAGCTCGGTAATAGTCATTCATCCCAAACGCGTCTGAGCAGCTTGACACCATTTACAGTCAGTGTGTCATTGTTTATCAGCCAGTGAGCATACGATGCATTTCATAATATTCCATTTGTTTTGGTGCTTGCAACTGCTAAATAAGCCACCATGGGCCAAAAGAAAGCTCCTAGTGCCAGCCCTTTGGCAAAGAAGGCAAAAAAACACAAAAGAACATAAGAAAGGAGGAACACTGCAGGCCTGTTGGCCCATACTAGGCAGGTCCTTCACAATCCATCCCACTAACAAAATATTTGCCCAACCCAATTTTCAATGCTACGCAAGCAATATGCTTCTGATAATTCTATTTACTCATGTGTAAGTCCCACTCAAATCTAACCCCTCACTCATATATTTATCCAACCTAAATTTGAAACTATCCAAGGTTTTAGCTTCAATAACTTTACTAGGTAGACCATTCTACTCATCAACTACCCTATTTCCAAACCAATACTTTCCTATATTCTTTCTAAATCAAAATTTGTCTAATTTGAATCCATTATTGCGGGTTCTTTCTTCGAGAGATATCCTCAAGACCTGATTTACATCCCCCTTGTTAATACCAATTTTCCACTTGTACACTTCGATCATGTCTTCCCTCATTCTTCGTCTTACAAGTGAATGTAATTTAAGGGTGTTCAATCTTTCTTCATAATGAAGATTTCTCATGCTATGTATTAACTTTGTCATTCTTCCCTGAATGTTTTCTAACAAATTTATATCCATTCTGTAAAATGGAGACCAGAACTGAGCTGCATAATCTAGGTGAGGCCTTACTAATGATGTATAAAGCTGTAGTATAACTGCTGTACTTCTGTTGCTTACACTTTTTGATATAAATCCCAGTAATCTATTTGCCTTATTACGTATGCTTAGGAATAGATGTCTTGGTTTAAGGTTGCTGCTTACCATAACCCTCAAATCCTTTTTGCATTCTGTATGGCTAAGTTCAACATTATTAAGCCAGTAGGTGCTAGGGTTATGAACATTTCCGAGCTTAAGAACTTTACATTTATCTACATTGAACAGCATCTCCCACTTTTCTGACCACAAATTGAGTTTGTCTAAATCCTCCTGAAGTTCTAAGACATCAACATCTGAATCGATTATCGTACCTATCTTCGTGTCATCAGCGAATTTGCTTATATCACTAGTAATTCCCTTGTCAAGGCCATTTATATATACATGTACATGTATTATAAACAACAACAATGTATTATAAACAACAATGGGCCTAAAACCAATCCCTGTGGAATGCCACTTGTTACAGATCCCCACTCAGATTTAACCCCATTTATGCACACTCTGTATTATATATACAGCTGTAATATAAGTGCTGGACTTTGTTGCTTACACTTCTTGATATAAACCTCAGTAATCTGTTTACGTTATAATGCATGCTTAGGCATTGCCGTCTTGGTTTAAGATTGCTGCTTACCATAACCCCCAAGTCCTTTTTGCAATCTGTATGGCTAAGTTCTACATTATTTAACTTAAGGTCAAGCTTATTGGGCGGTAATTTAATGGTAACAACTTGTCCCCTGCTTTAAAAATAGGAATTACATTAGCCATCTTCCACATATCAGACACTACACCTGTTTTTTTTTATTTATTAACACACTGGCCGATTCCCACCAAGGCAGGGTGGCCCAAAAAAGAAAAACTTTCACCATCATTCACTCCATCACTCCATCACTGTCTTGCCAGAAGGGTGCTTTATACTAGTTTTTAAACTGCAACATTAACACCCCTCCTTCAGAGTGCAGGCACTGTACTTCCCTTCTCCAGGACTCAAGTCCGGCCTGCCGGTTTCCCTGAATCCCTTCATAAATGTTACTTTGCTCACACACCAACAGCACGTCAAGTATTAAAAACCATTCGTCTCCATTCACTCCTATCAAACACGCTCATGCATGCCCGCTGGAAGTCCAAGCACCTCTCACACAAAACCTCCTTTACCCCCTCCCTCCAACCTTTCCTAGGCCGACCCCTACCCCGCCTTCCTTCCGTTACAGACTGATACACTCTTGAAGTCATTCTGTTTTGCTCCATTCTTTCTACATGTCCGAACCACCTCAACTAATATGGCGTCACTCGTACAAGTTGTCTGGCTACCACATCTCATATTTGTTTATTTATTCTACTGTGGGGTGTATGTATCATGTTTATTATATAATTTTGAAAAAATATCAGATGGATTAATGAAAATGTGTATATTAACGTAATATACGACATACCATACCATGGGCAGGGTTAGAACCCGCAATCAGAGAGTTTCAAAACTCCAGATCGTGGGTTCTATCCCCGCCCATGGTATGGTTTGTTTGCAATCGTGTCATTACGATTTTGTGAGTCACATACGACATCTAATGGGATTATTGAGTATTATTATTATCATTACTAATGTGGAGTCTCAAGACATAAGACTTGCTGATTTTAATGTGTACCTGCATGACAGCACAGTGTGTAAGTTTATTGAGGTACAGGTATACATAAGTATAATTATCAGATATATATAAAATATGAAATAACTTTTAAAAACACTTGAAATTTTGGAGTTTCCAGAAATAATGGAGAGACAGTGCTTACGGAGCTCACAGAGAATGTAAACAAACCAGGTGGGGTGCGGTGATCATATTAGAAAGTCAGGTGGGGGGAGACATATAGAGAGCTTTGGTCATAATTTGAAATGACTGTATTAGCGGAACGCCATAAAGCGGGGCCCTACTGTATAGTGCCTGTGCTTCAAAGGAGGGGTGTTGATATGCTGCAGTTTTTTAACTGTAGTGTAGGTATGCCTCTGGCAAGACAGTGATAAAGTGAATAATGATGAAAGTATTTCTTCTTTTTCGGGTCACCCTGCCTCGGTGGGAAATGACCAATGTCTTATTTAAAAAAATACTATAGTATATATAATTATACATTATTTATTTTTGCTTTTAAAACTTATTTTATTTCATTGCAGGTTCTGTTTCCACTTCAGTTTTCTGGACTTTTAGGCAAGGTTGATGTTGTTGCTGATGTTGATGGAGGTGGATTTTCTGGACAGTCTGGAGCTATACGTTATGCTATATCAATGGCCGTGCGATCTTTTGTTGATGAACAGATGATGGAAAAAATGAGACTAGGTTTGTATTTTTCTGTTGGTTCATATAAATTTCAGGTGTTTCATGGATAATACAATATTAGTGGCCCTGCTGATGTCATAGAAACTGAGGGTTTTGTTTCTGTGCAGTCATCCAAAATCCTGATGTTTATGCTGAATTTTGCTCTTGCAAATATAGCTAAAATCAAAGAGCACTTCAGGATACATAACCCAGTTCTCCTGTGTAAGAATTTCTTTCATTAATAGTTGTACTATGAATATGGCACAACTCGTAGTGTGGGTTTTCTATTTTTCAATTGAAATCAGTTGTGTTCAGCTCAAATTCGTGCTCCAACTGTCACTGTTTTTTTTTTTTTTTTTTTTTTTTTTTTTTTTTTTTTTTTTTTTGTTTACCCCTTGCATTCTGGCCTGGGGCCAGCCATGCTTTTTTGTTGATTGCCTGTTCAACCAAGCTGTTGCTGGTAGCATCCTACTGGCCCACATATCCATCACAGCCTGGTTGATCTGGCACTTGGTAGAGATAGCAATAGAGTTTTTTTCTGGTAATATTTCTGACAAGGAACCGGTCTAGCGCCGAGCACACAGACAAAGCCGCCTCCCACACCGTTCTCAGCCAGTGTAGCGTTGTTTCTCAGTGAGTGAACATATCCTGCCTGGCCATACGAAACATTTCATAATAATCCATTGTTTTTGCCAGTTGTTTATTGTGTGTGACTGCTAAAGAAGCAATCATGGCCACAAAGAAAGCTCCTAGTGCAAGTCCTTTGGTAAAGAAAGCAAGAAACACCATAGAAATGAAAAAAGAAATCCTAAGAAAATATGATAATGGCATACACATTGCTGAACTCGGCAGGATGTACAGGAAGTCGCCATCAACAATCAGCTCCATTGTGGCAAAAAGAAAAGAAATCATGGAAGCTGAGGTTGTGAAAGGGGTAAATGCGATAACCAAACAGAGATCCTAAACATTTGAAGAAGTGGAGAAATTGTTGTTGGTGTAAATCAGAGAGAAAGAGTTAGCAGGACATAGTGTTGTGCAGTCAATTATTTGTGAAAAGGCGAGACAGTTACATGACAACCTCTTAAAGAAATTCCCTGAAACAAGTGCTGATGTAGGTGAATTTAAGGCCAGCAAAGGCTGGTTTGAAAAATTAAAGAAGCGAAATGGCATACACAATGTTGTAAGGCATGGCGAGGGTGCCAGTTTAGATAAACAAGTGGCTGAAAAATTCATGCAGGAATTTGTTATGCAGAGGCTGAAAAATTTGAACCCCAACAAGTGTTCAGTTGTGATGAAACAGGCCTGTTTTGGAAGAAAATGCCAAAGAGGCCCTACATTATGCAGGAGGAAAAGGCACTTCCAGGACACAAGACTATGAAAGACAGGCTAACTTTCTTCTTGTGTGGTAATGCTAGTGGGGATTTCAAAGTGAAATCTTTACTGGTGTATCACTCTGAAAATCCCAGTGTGTTCAAGAAAAACAATGTTGTCAAGAGTAAATTGTGTGTGATGTGGAAGGCTAACAGTAGGGCATGGGTCACAAGGGAAATTTTCCTGGAATGGTTTAATGAAGTGTTTGGCCCCAGTGTGAAAAAATACCTCCTGGATAAGAAATTGCCATTCCAGTGCCTCCTGTTAATGGACAATGCTCCTGCTCATGCTCCAGACTTGGAAGACCAATTGTCTAAGGAATTCAGTTTTGTAACAGTGAAGTTTCTGCCTTCTAACACCACTCCTCTCCTCCAGTCCATGGACCAGCAGATCATTGCAAACTTCAAAAAACTGGACACCAAAGCAGTGTTTCAAAGGTGCTTTGATATAACCTCAGACTCTGAATTGACCCTAAGAGAGTTCTGGAAGAATCACTTCAATATCTTCCACTGCATAGGCCTTATAGATAAGGCTTGGCAGGGAGTGACTTCCAGGATGATGAACTCTGCTTGGAGAAAATTGTGGCCAGATTGTGTCCAAAAAAAAAGGATTTTGAAGGGTTTGAGACCGACTCTGTCAATTCTACATCTGTTGTGCAATCAATTGTGGCATTGGGAAATTCCATGGGGTTGGATGTGAGCGGCCAGGATGTGGAAGAGTTGGTGGAGGACCACAATGAAGAGCTAACCACTGATGAGCTGCAAGAGCTTCATCTGCAACAGCAACAGACCACAGCTAAGGAAATCGCTTCAGAGGAGGAGGAAGAGAGATGGAAGAAGATGCCCTCTTCAAAGATTAAGGAGATTTGTGCAATGTGGGCTAAAGTGCATTCATTTGTGGTGGAATATCACCCTGAGAAAGCTGTTGCAATCCGTGCTGGTGATTTTTACAATGACAATGCCATGTCCCATTTTAGGCAAATCTTAGAGACACTAGAAACAGACCTGTCTGGAGAGATATTTTGTGCAACAGGGGTCCAGTGACTCTCAAGCTGGTCCTAGTGGCAGTAAAAAACAAAGGAGGGAAGTGACCTCACATAAGGACTTGGTACCTAGAGTTCTTATGGAGGGGGATTCCCCTTCCAAACAACCTATTTTCCCTCTCCCCTCCTCTCTGTCTTCCTTCCAGCAACAACAGCCTTCAATAAAGGTAAGTGTCATATGTAATGATCATTCTTTTGTGCATGTAACTATTTTTAAGGTTAAAAACTTTTTTGTTGATGCTTCTGGGTGTCTGGAATGGATTAATTCCATTTACATTACAGTGGAACCTCAAATATCGAACTTTCTTCGTTCCAGACGTCTGTTCGAGTGCTGTTACCGAATGAATTTATTCCCATCAGGAATAATGTAAATTAGATTAGTTCATTTCAGACCCTCAAAAATACACTTCTGAAATCACTTACAAAAATACACTTACATAATTGGTTGAGTTGGGAGCAGTTCGATATTTGAGGTTCCACTGTATTTCTAATGGGGAATATGGTTTCAGTTTTGGCCAATGGCTCAGGAATGGATTAAACACAAAAACCGAGGGTCCACTGTACTGGTATACCGATGGTACCCCTGATTGTTAAACCCTTAGCACCTGGTTTCCTGGTTGGGGGGTTGGTTGCCTGTATGGGTGTGTAACAAATGGTTACACAACCACAGCCTGGTTGGTTGCCTGTATGGGTGTGTAACAAATGCTGAATAAACTGTAGCATACTCTTAGCATGCCACAACTAGTTTCTTGTTATCATAGCAATAGTAGATAACACTTCAGTTTCATGTCATCCTTTGCAGGCAATATCAAAATAAGTATAAAAGTCACGTCAAAAGGAGACAGAAAAGTTACAAGTACATATCAGCAAAATCTTCCAGTGGGAAAATGATAATATCATGATCTTCAGTGGTGGCTTTAGTTCCAACTACTTAGTTGCAGGAAGACTGAAGAACTCAAAATAAACACAGGGTACAGATACTTAAATATAGGAAAAATCAAAATAAACAAAGGGTACAGAGCACAAGCAGAACATCTTATAAAATGAAAGGAACAGATAAAAGAATTAGGAATAACTTGAACTGATCTGTTGTCTAGAGATCTCAATACAGCATATGTAGCAAAGGCCAGGAAAATGATGGCAGATTATAGAAACCATTAAAACATGAGAAACAATGCCAATAATGGCACTTTTTAGGTGATTTGCTTTTGTACTCTTCAAATATTGTTTTGTGCTTGCAGTGCCTTTCAGGGTAGAAGAGTTAGTTTAACATCTTTATTATGCAACTCCCCATACCCATCCTTTTGGCGGTAGTCAAAAGATTACAGAGGTGCATAATGGGTCCAGGGACCGGGCCATAAAGTTTTGATAGCTGAACAAGTTATGGTGGTAATGAGAGATAACAGAACTAGAAAATATACTACCTGCATACTCAGTAAAACATCTAAACTACTGTGAATGTCTCAAAGCACTTGGAATGTATTCATTGGCACGGAGAAAAGATACCTGATAACTTATACACAGAAAATATTTGAAGGTCTGTCCCCCAACCTGTGCACTACCATAACATGCTGGAGTAAGTGTAAAATAAATCCAGTGAAAAGCATGGATGCCATAAGCACAAAAACACTATCAGAATCTATGGCCCCAGACTATACAACCTGTTACTAACAGAGAAATGTTGCCAGATTGAAAATAGATGTTTTCTAGAGGAAACTGGACAATTACTTCCTGCAAGTGTCAGCTGGACTGTGTTGGATATAGAGGATTTTGTGCATATAATTGACTTACTTTGTTAATTAGCATCAGCTTAATCACCTAGCCCTGCCAGCCTCTACATATACTCTGTCAAGGGAATAGTAAACCCTTCCATAAGCTGCCAAATATATACCAAGGTATTATTATTACATTCATAACTAAGCACTAAACCCACATGGGTCATACAGCATTGCAGGATAGAGGTGTGCTAAAGGTATAATATGCCTGAGCAGGGAGCTATACTTAGGTCTACACTTACCAGTATGATGTTCTTGTTGACACCTGGTTCCTGGTTAATTATCAAGCTCTGCGCTGTATGACCCTTGTAGATTTAGCGCTTCTTTTTTATTATAATAATAATTATGCAGCGAGGAGAAGGCTGGAGGCAGTGGAGATGTCATGTCCGAGGGCAATGTGTGGTGTGAATATAATGCAGAGAATTCGTAGTTTGGAAGTTAGGAGGAGGTGCGGGATTACCAAAACTGTTGTCCAGAGGGCTGAGGAAGGGTTGTTGAGGTGGTTCGGACATGTAGAGAGAATGGAGCGAAACAGAATGACTTCAAGAGTGTATCAGTCTGTAGTGGAAGGAAGGCGGGGTAGGGGTCGGCCTAGGAAAGGTTGGAGGGAGGGGGTAAAGGAGGTTTTGTGTGTGAGGGGCTTGGACTTCCAGCAGGCGTGCGTGAGCGTGTTTGATAGGAGTGAATGGAGACGAATGGTTTTTAATACTTGACGTGCTGTTGGAGTGTGAGCAAAGTAACATTTATGAAGGGGTTCAGGGAAACTGGCAGGCCGGACTTGAGTCCTGGAGATGGGAAGTACAGTGCCTGCACTCTGAAGGAGGGGTGTTAAT